AAAGAAAGATGTTGATATGACCTGTATTCAAGTCGTTAAAGATATGTGTGCTAGAGCTGGTACCCGTATTTGAATAAAAGGAGGATTGACTAAGTATTTTCGTTTTTCAGTTGGATTGCATGAAAGATCGACTTTAAGCCAATATTTTTTTTCTTTAGTTATGGATGCTCCTACTGGGCATAAACAGGAGGATGTACATTGATGTATGCTTTTTGCTGATGATATCATTCTTGTTGATAAGACTAGAGGAGTTTAAGAAATACTTGAATTATGGAGGTCTACATTGGAGTCTAAGGGCCTTCGATTTAGTAGATCTAAAATTGAATACATGGAATGTAAATTTACTGGTAGTAGCTCTAGTAGCAGAGTTGTAACTATGAGTGATCAAATCATTAAAATGTGTGAACGTTTTAGATATCTCAGGTCTATTGTTCAAAGTGATGGTGATATCGATGGGGTTGTTTTTAGTAGAATTCAGGTTGGTTGGTTGACGTGGAGGTATGCATCAAGCCTATTGTGTGATAGAAAAATACTACTTAGACTTAAAGGAAAATTTTATAAGATGGTAACGAGCCTTCAATGCTTTATGGAGCAGAATGCTGGCCTTTAAAAGAGAAGCATAAAACAAAGTGTTGCTGAGATGAGAATGCTTAGATGAATGAGTGGCTTGACACTTACAGACAATGCAAATCAAATCTATCCTTGAAAGTGTTGGTGTAGCTCCAATTGCAGACAAGATTGGAGAGAGTTGTCTTATATGGTTTGGTTGCATTAAACGACAATCATCTGAGGATACAATTAGGAGAGTAGATGTTTTAGATTCAATCTGTGCTAAGAAAGATAGAGGTAGGCCTAAAAAGATTTGTGCATATTATATAAAAAATGATCTTAATCTGTTAGAATTAAATGAAACTATGAACATAATAGGACACAATGGAGAAGAATAATTCATGTAGCCAACCCCACTTAATGAGATAAAGGCTTGTTGTTGTTTTTGTTGTTGTTGTTGTTATTGTGTGGTGGAGAGCGTGTTCAACTGAGCGTTGTAGTGGAGAGGTGGGAATGTCATGGATAGGTGGTATGACGTGTGGGAGGGTGTTGATGTGGAGAAATATGCTTCGGTTGATTTAAGAGATATGTAACTATAAAAGACATTTAGGATATTCAAGGCTTGCATTGTTTAAACAATGCATTGTAAATTGTGTAATGGGGTGTAGTTATTATAGGAGGGTCTTGGTGGTGTGGCGTTATCATTCAAAGCGTGATGAGAGCCAAAATCAAGAGATAATAGCCTTTGAGATAATGTTGGTGGACTGATACACCTAAAATATATAGTATATTTAGACATATTTTTATACCTATTTTTGAGATACTATTTTTGAGATATTGCACTTTGCCTATTTTTGAGATATTGCACTTTGATGGAAGATATTTGTGTGTTTTTCTTTCAGGTACAAGTAAAAAGGTGAAAAATGCTTAAAGGAGTAAAAAATGATCAAATTTGGAGCAAAAATGTTAAAATTATGCTAAAGTGTTTTGGCGCCCAAGTGCCAGATCCTACACTTAAGCGCCGGTTAAACAGAGAAGGCCGCGCCTAAGAGCCAGAGGCCCCGCACTTAAGCGTCAAAGGTAGTTATTTGGCGGTTTTCTTCATTTGGCCGAATTTTGAAGAGGTATTTGAGACATTTATTGACTTAAGAGGGTGGTTATGACCACTAAGAACGAAAATATGTTTAAAAGACTTGTGAAAGAGGCATCATTTGGAGGATTCATCGAATGTGGACACATTTTGAAGAGTTTCCAAGGCACCTTTTGGAGATTTATAAAAAAATAAAGTTTTTACATTTGAAGTGGGTGCTTGAAGAGGGAGTGCTGGAGTCCTGAGAAAAAGATCGTGGAGAATCTTGTGGAGAGATTTAGGCACCACAAAATTTACTTTTTCCTTTTATTTTTAGTTTATTTTGAGAGAGTTGTAAAAGAGAAATGATTCAAAGGAACTTCAAGAGTTTGGTGGAGGATTTGAGATAAATTTTTATCTTTTATTTTAAACCACTTTTTGTGTTAATGGAGACTTCTTGTTGGTTTGACAATGATTTCTGCTTTTAAAATGATTTCTGTCTGCTTTTAAACTAAAGTATGGTTTTGTTTTCTCCATGAATTATGAGTAGTTTTTTTTATCTTTCTCCCTAAAATGATAAGTAATTAAAGTTTGGATGAAAGTTGTGGAGAGTATTGATCTTTAATGTTGGAAGAAGTTGTGATGATTCAAATCCATGAACTTCATTTACTTGATTTGACCAATCCAGATGGTAAAATTTGCTGTGAGAAAATGTAGAAACCGGGCTTGTATTGTCTCAGTAAGGAATTAGAAAAAATCACATGAGGTTGTATGAATGAGAATATAATTCATATAATTTAGTGCAAATAAATAGGATTTAGTGCAAATAAAAATTTAGTGCAAATAAATAGGAAAATATTCTTTAAAGGGTGTAGAGTTAGAGGACTTTAAAGTGAGATTAAAACCCACAACTTGATTTATTATTTTAGGTTCTGATACGAGATGTTAGCCCCCAGGTGGAGAGAATCAAGGGAACTATAGAGTGAGAGCTGGTATCTTCCCTGCCTAGCCGGTCTTCAGAACTATTCAAAATTTAAATTAGTCAATGTTCTTTATAGTATCTCTAGTAAGAGTAAAGAATATAATTGCTCCTATTTGACACAACACAATTTGCATACTTCCACAACAGAATTCTATACTTATTACTGATTCATGATAAGGAGAAATATATTTTTCAGATTTAGTACTTTTCTTTTATATAAACTCAAGTTATCTTTTTAAATTGTTACTGTTCTGTTAATATATCAAAAATACCAAAAAGATTTGAATTTTAATAATGCGAAAATATTTATAGTTTAAGTAATTGTATTTTTAGAATAGAAAGTTGTTGTTAAAAAGTGCATATTGCGTATTTTCCTTGTGGGTTCGATATTCAGGTTTTAATCAAAAAGTCCTATATTACTTGATAACGATACGTATACTTGCGTAGTATCCCAATATAAATATAAATTGAAAATTTAAATTCTTATTTTTTTCAGGATCAAGTTTTTGGGACAGTTGTAAAATAAAGAAATATAAGTGAAAACTATAATTAAAGTCATTGTTATAATATTGCATATAAACAGTAATAGGATTATGGACCCGAGTGTTTATTTTTAAAGTTTGATGTGAAATTAGAAGGTTTGTGGGGAATTGTTCTAAGTGTGGGAGATGTGTAATTACTTGAGATTTAAAAAAACACTTACTCTCATCAAAGGAAAAACACCAATTGAATGCACCAAGTTTCCCATCTCACCACTACGTGAGGATTCACGCAGACAATCACATCTTTCAATTTTCATTCAAATTTAATTTTTTTAACATTAAATTTACAACATTTACAAACTATTAAAAACAATTCAAGTTCAAAATTTAGATAATGACAGGGGCCTCTTGCACATTGTGAAGTGGCTCTTGTACATGCAGAAGAAGTGGGGATGATGGTTGGATAGTTAAATCTCCATGTGGACATTACAATGCATGGAAACTTAAATAGGCATGTGCTGAATCCTATTATGTCTGTGGATTCATGCCTTTAGAACAAAGCTTGCTGAAAAAAGTTAAATGGCTATATAAGAGAGGGAAAAAAGGGGATGGATTGTATTGAATATCAATATCACAGTTGGGGAGAAAATCCTCCTTTTACATTAACCCTCCCCTTTATATAGGAGTACCTATTTATATAATATACAAATGTTATGATGAAAATCAAATTTTTTAGGATCATTGACTACCTGAATTTCTCATTTATTGCCTCAACTACATATTTTATATTATCTCGGATGTCTTATCTTCTGCGGACATTGTATTTAGACTTATATATTCTACCGCTTTGATTGGTCACATCTAATGTCTAGTCGATCTCCCATACCCGCTCTGTGGACACCAGCCTAAAAATGAAACGTTTTATTATTATTAACGATATTAAGATCACTAAAGTCAATCGTATTTTCAGAAACTTTATTAAAAAGTTTATCAAAGTAACTCACCCATCTATCTTCACTTTACTTGAGTTAAATCTTTACTTTTCTTTTTTCTTTGTTTGGCTAGTTTATACCTTAATTTTCCCCCTTAGTTTCTAATATAGTATAAAGATCATTAAAAACAAAATTTTTTGCGTCACAGATTGTTCTTTTTGACTCTTTCGGAGCCGTATAATATTTTTCCCAATTCTCTAAGCTTTTACATTTAAACCAATTTTTGTAACATAATTTCTTATATTTTATCTTATTTTGCGCATTATTATTCCACCACCAACTATTTTTATTAATAAAAACTTTTTCTTTTGATTCTCCAAGTACATCTTTTGCTACTTGTTAATAATTTTTATTACTTTATTCCACATAGCATTTGTTTCATCATGAACATCCCAAATTTTGAAATCTTGAATTTTACTCATAAAATTATTTTATTTGTCTCTTAGGTTCTTTAGTTCTTTAATCTAATTCTACGATGACGAGTCATAGTATTTTTTATTTTACAGCTCATCATCTTGAAATCTAAAACTAATAAACGATGTTTTGTATTTAAATCCTCACTTGGAATGACCTTATAATCTTTACAATCTCGACGATATCTTCTTCTCATAAAAAAATAATCAATTTGTGTTTTATTAGATTCATTCTTATAAGTAATAAGATGTTCATATCTTTTCTTGAATAAAGTATTATTAATAACAAAATCATATGCTAAAGCAAAATCTAAAATAGCTCTACCTTCTTCATTAGTCACTCCATAACCGTAGCCACCATGATTATTTCTGAAATTATTAGAACTAAATATAATATAATAAACTTGTAGTTCTTTCTTTTGTTTATAATTATAAAATAAGTATTGCTGCTTGTTCCATTTCATGCTGAATCCCTACTTAATGTGGACTAAATTACTAACCTGAAAAAATCAGATGGGTCGTGTGAAGCTTCAAGGTATTAAACGTAAAGAAGATTTTGTGATGATGGTGAAAAAAGCTGTGAAAGGTTAGTATAATCTATTTTCTGAAATTTCTTAGGTATATATATTGATATCGCTATCCATTCACCATTCTTATGTTGCAAGCGATATATATATATGTATGTATATATATATATATATGTATA